CTGTTTCCAAAGATCACTTATTTCTTTCCTTTTTTTTTTTTTTTTTTTCTTCTTGGCTTTAAGAAGACCTAGGCAGGCACCTTCTTTTAAATAGCCCCCAACTGGAGAAAATGCCAAATTGTCATTGGTAGACACATAGAGAAAATTAGTGGGGGAAAGGAGGTGGGTCTAGGATTATACTTCTTTTAATGCGTGAGCTGTTACTGTCTTTTTAGGAATGTAGCTCTGTTATGTGAAGCCAGTGGTAAAGCGTCAGTGTGAGTCAGGACTTCATAAGGCACAAAGGTGACACAGGAACTCAGAGTTTACAGGTGCAGCCAGCGGGGAGGCACCTTCGCCAACACTCTGTAGAAACCAATGTGGATAATGGATGCGGTGGTCAACTGACCTTTTCTTTTCTATTATTGCTGCACAGGCTTTAAAAGAAGATTTTCCTTTAAGCCATGTGATCTCCCCATTCACCAATCAAGAGCGAAGGGAGGGGATGCTTTTAAATCTGCTCATCCCATTTGTGCTCACAGTAGGATCTGGAAGCAAAGGTCTGATTAACTTAACTAAAGGAAACTACTGTTGTTGTTGTGTTTTCTAACCACCAGGGTGTTGTTTCTGTTTTTCCTGTTTTTCCCCATGAAAGTCCTCAGTTGAAATGGATCGGAATGGTTTAAGTGGGGGTTGACTTGGGTAATGGGAGTTGTATTTGGTTTGGCTGTCCTGGCACAAGAATTTCTGTGCACTACTTCTTAGGAAAAAACAATATATCCTATTTAAAATGATTTCAATACAGCAGAGATTTGGGAGAACATTGTTTCAGTTAAGAAAATGTTAATTATTCAAGTACAATACACTGAGAATTGACAGGTGACTAGACTTTAATGCAACCACTGTTGTTTGCAGAAATCCTGCAGCTGCCAACTGTCAAGCCGTTCTCATTACTCTTCCATCTGATGGGGGTCTTTCTTTTAGGAAAAGCATATCTCAAATGTCAGGCCAGTATACTCTAAATTTTTGCCAAAAGCAAAGAGAATGAACTGGTAAGCAGCAGACCTGGCTTAGGAACAGAAGCCCTTGGATGCCAGGCACAGCAGCTCTCAGATGCCAATAAAGCTGTGCTGTACGTGGAAGGAGAAGTACTTGGTGGGAAACGCCCACAACTCCTGGGTGTTCTGGTTTGGAGCTGGAAGAAGTTGCATAGCTCAGTGCATGACATGGAAGGTCTGCCTTGTGATTGTTGTTCTTTCCCTTTACTCTTCCAAAATGCGCTTCAGATAGCCCATGGCTGGAGCAGCCCGAGGTACAGCTACTGCTGCAGACCGTCATTAACGTGCTTCTGCCCCCTCGGATCATCACCACCTCTAGGAGCAAGAACTTCATGCTGGAGAGTTCCCCAGCACACTGCTCCACCCCCGGGGATGCAGGCAAAGATTTGCGCAAGGAAGGGCTGGCTGAGTCCACCAGCCAGGCAGCATACTTAGGTGGGTCTTTCTCCCCTGCCTCCTCTTTTTCCCTACCCACAGATGTACTAAGCTCCATCTTGGCTCAGAAAGTATTTAAAAAAACATTCTTGCACAGCTGGTTTACTTCAGGAAATGTAGGTCAAAAGGCAACAAGCACATTCTCTTTTTTTTTTTTCAACTATTTTTAATTTTAATTTTATTCATTTTACATCCCGACCAAAGTGTCTCCTTCCTCCTCATATCCCAATCCTTCCCCTTCTCCTTCCTTCTCTCCTGCCCCCCAGCCCCCACTCCTATCCATTCCTCCACCTTTTCTCTTCAGAAAAGGGCCAGCCACAGTGGGTATCAACCAGCCATGCCATAGCAAGTTGAAGACAAACTGGGAACCTCCTCTTCCATTAAGGCTAGACAAGGCAACACAGTAAGGGGAAAGGGTTCCAAAGACAGGCAACAGAGTCGGAGACAACTCCCGCTCCCACTGTCCTGCCCCACAAGAAGAAGCTACAATGCAACTGTAACTTAAGTGCAGAGAGCTTAGTTCAGTCCCATGCAGACTGGTTGGTGGTCCAGTCTCTGTGAGCTCCTATGGGCTCAGGTTGTTTGTTTCTGTGGGTTTTCTCATGGTGTCCTTGACCTCTGTGACTCCTATAATCCTTCCTCCCCCTCTTCCACTGGATTCTCCAAGCTCCACCTAATGTTTGGCTGTGAGTCTCTGCATCCTTTTCCAAGAGTTGCTGGCTGAAGCCACTCTGATGATAATTGGGCTAGGCACCAATCTATCAGTATAGCAGACTATCACTTGGCCTTGGCATCAATCTATCAGTATAGCAGGATATCACTCGGCATCATTTCATTGCCTTTTTTTTTTCTTTTTCTTCTTTTGCCAGTTGTGTTTAGTTGTATCCTAGGTCTCTGTGCTCTACAGCCTCTGGGTTTGGGCCCTCCAGGCAGTGTCAGGGGTGGGCTCCCTCTTGTGGCATGGACCAATCATTAGTTGGCCATTCCCACAATGTCTTTACTACAACAAATCTTGTAGGCAGGACAAAGTACGGGTCGAAGGTTTTGTGGCTGGGTTGGCATTCTATTCCCTCCCCTGGAAGTCTTTTCTGTTTACAGAAGATGGCCGGTTCAGGAAAACTCTGACCTTTAGCAGCTGCTATGAGGTAGTGTATTCTGTGGTTCTCATTGGGCTGTCATCTGTTTAAATACAGCCCTTGGAGCTGGCAGTCAACATCCTGAGAGGGAGGGCATGGTGGCCTTACGAGACATTAGTTCTTTGGCCAACTTTCTTTTTCTTCCCTGGCAATGTCTTACTTAACATTCCATCTTGATCTTCAATAATGTGAGGACAGCCCCCTCTCCCTACAAACTTCCAATTCCTCTTCCCACTTCCATTCCTACTTCCCCACGTCCCCATTCCTGCATCTAAGGATTGCCCTCCCATTCAGTAACAGAGAGACACTGATTGTCCCTGAAGGAAGTAAACCACGGGGGAAGACTACTCTTGGACTGGCACCAAGAATAAAGACCACTGACAACGGAAAACCCCAAAAGAAGAACACTTCACCTGACATGTTTTTGTTTTTGTTGTTGTTGTTGTTATTGTTGTTCAGCAAAGTGGATGTTGGTGGGAGAGTGTGAGACAAATACAAATTCCCTGAATCAAACAGGTCCTTGGAGTGTGGGAACATAAGGTGTTTAAATAGCATTCTGAAAGGGTATGTACATAAAAAGTTATCATTTACTATGCCCCCACCCCCCAAAAGAAAGAAAAGAAAGAAAGTGTGTACACAGGGCTAACCCAGACAGGTGCTCGGTTACCCAAGGCATTGGAAGCCAGGCTCAAACAAAATTCAGTCTGGCAGAGAAGCAAACCTGGTGGTTAGGGAGCCCAGGATATGACGGAGAAGGAAGCTTATTAAATAAGGCCAGAAATTTTAAAAATTATTAATTAAATTTAAAATTGTCCTCACTCCATTCCACTTTCTGCCTTTTTAATAAAGGTGCTACTTTTTTTTTTCTCTTTGTCAGGCATTGTACCTTTTTAATTATTGTTGTATTTCAGCTGTGCATGTGTGCAGTACTCTTACTGTTCCATAAAGCCACTGTGACAAAGCCTTTGGGCTGTAGAGCATCAGTAAATACACATACTTCTAACGCCTTTTGAGTTCAGTGGGCCACCGACGTTACCCCATTTTTGTTTTCCTCCCAAACTGGAAATTCTCCAATGCATTTAACAAAACTGTGTTCTAACCTGCGCCTGTAGGTGTGGACTACCGGCTCGGGAGTGTACGTTATGTTTTCCAGAAGCACGGAGTTTAACAAATTAGACCTTTTTTTTTTTTTTTTTTCCTGTGTGTAAGAGCGGTGGTTATGGGCAGGATTGCTCTGAAGCACAGGCCCTCAGGCTCCTCTTCTCTCTTGCGGCTGTGAAGCCCTCAAGGTTATTCTCGTCTGCTTCGAGAGGCAGCTGGGCAGCCAGTGGTACTGGCTGAGCCTGCAGGTGAAGGAGATGGCCCTGCGGAAGGTGGGCGGCCTCGCGCTGTGGGACTTCCTGGACTTCATCGTACGCACCCGGATCCCCATCTTCGTGCTCCTGCGCCCTTTCATCCAGTGCAAGGTGCGGCAACAAGTCGGCGAACGTGCAGTTCTCCATTAGGGCAGGAGTGCTGGGTTGGCGGGAGGGGTACACAGAACACGCGCATGGGACTGTTACCGCCCTGCTTGATGAGGAAACGGCCCAAGCGAGCGTCCAGAGATTATCTCACATTCAGGGCGCCTTCTCACCTACTAAAGCCCGCCAAACTTATTCCCACCCCATTCGCCACCCCGTCCCTTTCGAAAAAGGAGAAAACTGTCCCGGTGGAATGTTCTAGAGAACATTCTCCCCTGGCGATGGCATTAATTGAAATCTACTGTTAAAGAAACATGAAAAAGAAAGTGGGAAAGTTAAGGCTTCTTCTTCTTCTTCTTCTTCTTCTTCTTCTTCTTCTTCTTCTTCT